TTTGAAGTTTATTTCAAGAAGTACTCTCTAACAAAGTAAGAAGGCAGGTTTTCATGTGAGATTATATCCCTTGTAAAATATTCCCTCAGCAGCAAGGAGATAGTGATGTATGAAGAGAGCATTCCCTTCCTTGCTTTTTACCAGGTACTAAGAGGGTGACCCCTGTGACTCTCCCCATAGAACAGAGGGAAGAAAAACCCTTTGTCACGATGAAATCCAAACCCCCAACATGATGGAGCACAGCACGAACAGTTAGACCGTCATTTTGCTTTTCTTTCCTTTCAGATAGCCCAAGCACGTGTCTGCTGCCTGATGTTAAAGGTGACCTGCAAATGGAGGTTATCAATGAAAAGCAGTAAACCTGAAATGTAATTTTTTCTTTTTCTGATTGTTTTTTGAAGCATCAGGTATTTAGGCCAGTCTACTCTCTGAGTTTTTCCATAGTTGAAGAATTACTAAAATAAGGTTTAAAAAAAAAAAAAAAGGTGAATTGCAGAAAGCAGAAAGTGTTTAGTTAGGGCTTTTGAAACCTTCAGATACCTTTGACTAAATAACATTTTGGGTAAAAGAAGTCTTTACTAAGTATTCCAAATCCTGTGCTTCAGTTTCAAATAAACCCAGAAGATCTTAAAAATTCTACAGTAAAGCGAGAAAATACTGTATTTTTTGTGCTTGGAAGATAAATATAGCAGAGATGGAAAAACAAACTGCTTTAGGCTTTACTTGTTGTAGAGAAAATAACAACATGCTAATTGAACATCAGTCACAAGTTACACGCTTTATTTGAACAAAGCTACTTCGTGCCCTTAATGCTCAAAATGGATCACAGTTGTTAACTGGTGAATCATTTTAAAAGATAAACTGGTAGACCTGCTAACCAGGATATTAAGTGAAGTACATTTGCAACCGCCTGTGATCTATAATTTCTCTGCAGGGGAAAATGAGATTTTGCTTCCTTAAAATAAAGCAGACATTTTAAGGGGCACCTTGCCCATGACATTTTTGAGGAGTGTTTTCACACTGCCCTGCCAGTTTCAATCCTTTGTGGAAGCTGGTGCTTCTSTCTCCCTTCACTCAATTGCTTCCTGCCCCAGCAGCAGCCTCTGCTTTTAGCAAGACCCACATCCATAATGCACTTTCCAGTGGGACCCAGCAGGGCTGAACTATCAGCAAAAACAGTTTTGCTCTGAGATCAGTTCCTTCCCAGGATGTTGTGTCAGCTTCCCTACCTTCTGCCTGCCATTAATTGCACTGTATCCCCAGGTCAAACAACTGGCCAAAAATCTGGAAAACAGCTGATGGTCAGAGCAGCTCCTGCTCAGCATGTCCTCTCAAAGGGCACACTCCTAGCCCAGTCCTTTTGAGTGGCTGGACCTGCTTGACCCAATTTGTGGATTTTTGATCACTCCCCTGGGTCCCTGATTTTCCACTTGAGGTTATTGGTTTGACCCACACACCATGGGTCACTTGGGAGGTGTGATATGGCCCTGTGAACTCTGAACTCATCAGAAGCCAACAAAAACAGTGAGAGAGGAGAGAAGAATTTCATTAAGACCTCCTCAGAGGTGGCAGTGTCTGCAGAGGAAAAAGGTAGTTGTTGTTTTCCTTCTTGTAGAAACAAGCACAGCATCTACAAGGGGCTGCCAAGTAGAAAGTGTTTGGTTTGGTTTGGCAATTTCTTTAATGATAAACAACAGCATCTTCTTTTACACCGTAGGCTATCGAGTAAGAAGGGTTCAGAGGAGCCCTCCTCTTCCTTCTGGGAACTGTCCCCAGTGTCCCAGACTTACTTTAAATGGTGACAGCATTTCTGCAGAAAGAGCTTGGGATTTGCAGTTTTTTCTTCTGTCTTAAAAAGATTGACTTTCTGATGGTTAATTTGTCACATGTGAGGAGGGAAGGGCTTTCTTTCCTGTATTTTAAAACTGGTCATATGGAGGTTTATGGAGACTTCATGGTTTTGGTTGGTTGCACTGTGAGCAGTTTCCTAAGAATGGACTTCCCCAGGCATGGGTGGTAGGTGGGGAAGAACAAATCCTCAGGACATCATTTGACTCCAACATGCTGTGCTGGTCATAAAAGGAAAAAAAAAAAWTTCTCATTGTAGCTTGTGTATCTGCAAGGATAACACCCACTGGGGTCACTAGGGGAAGTGAGCTGGAGAGTGTGGAGCAGCCATGAGGATATCTTCTGTGAAATCTCCTTCAGTCATGCTGCCCAGAGTCAGCCTTTTGGACAGTTACCAGTGTTTCCCAAGGTTTTACTCAGATGAAAGTTCTGCTTATCATTGGCTAGATCATTGCTTGTATTATCCCCAAGGCTGCTAAAATTACTCACATGCCTTCTGACTTCCTGGGACTTTCCTGAAGGGTTCACATGAAGTGGATTCCAGTCAGATCTCTGTGTAGAGCCCCTCCTCCCAGCTGCTAAGTCGTGACTCTGAGGCAGACACTCAAGAATTACACCACCTTTGGATGTTTCACCCTCAGAGAAAGGAAACTGGTGCTGACAGTGAACAACTAGGGGTTTTATTTTTCAGAGAAAGATTTTGCTCTTCCCACATGTTCTTGTGCAGTTTTTCTACACAGCCACAGATGGTGTTAGCTGTAAGTGAACTGCTGGTGGATTTAGTTGGATAGGAATGGCATCGGCCATGGAGATCTGATGGCATTAGCTCAGCCAGCTTGAGGCCATTTCTCAGCCCTGGCAGGCTCATCTTCACTGCACAGGGTCAGAGCAGCCTGAGTGCACAGCCCTCTGCACATTCACAGCTTCTGTGGCACTGTGTAACACTGTTTCCTAAAACTGGGCTGGCTGAGCTTTCCTGGAAACAGCTCTTTTGGCTGGGTGGCAAAGCACACCYCTCTTTTTTCCTGCACCTTGCAGATTTCTGGTGTCTGTTAAGGCATGAGTTGTGTACTGAGGGCTCAGTAGATCATACTGGTGGCTCAGTTCTGTTCTCAGCCATCATTTTGGTACCAATTAATCTTGAATTTGTTTTTCTAGGGTGATTTAATTTGCAGTTAGAGCTCTGACCAAAAGCTACCTGGCTTTTCAGTGAATTCTGGATCAGGTTTCAAGCTCAGTCCTTTTTTAATGTGATCCACAAGAATTTTGTTGATTACAGCTGCCGATGAGAACACCTTATAATACCTAATGTCCAGGATTTTGACCTTMTATTAAAAGGTGATGGGTTTACCATATGTTCCTGTCCGTGTGCTGCTTGACACAAAGCAGTTACTACCACTGCAGAGCCTTTTATGATTGGAAGTGTGTTTTTGTGCACAGAGGCATTAAAGCTGAGTGTGATGGGACTGACTGGTGAACAAGCCTTCATGCACAAATATGTGGAGCAGCTCTTTGGCCTTGTGTGGAAATTAGGCATTGTTGCAAGACGTAGGTATGTGAGCAGCAACAGCAATTGTCTCAGTACTTATGTTTCAGAGTGGTTTGGTATCTCAAAGGGTGGCTTCAGGCCCTTCAGCACTTTGTCTGGACTGTCTCACCAGGAGATGGGGGGGGAAGCTGGGAGTGCCTGTCTTTTATAATGTTCTGTTTTTAAAGCAGAAAGTCTCTGGAGAGCAWAGGGTCCTAAAAGTCCAAGGCCTGGAATGCTTCCTTTTGCTTTTTCCATTTTAAACAGGAAACATTTGCACTAAGTTATTCCAGGAGGAAAATTGTAGGTTCATTTCAAGGCAGATAATGTTTGTTCATTGCCTGTGTCCATGATTTACCCCATGGGCTTAAACGAGTGCAGCAGAAAACSACATGTTCTGTTTTACTACATGCTAAACAAGTTCCAGCAGTCTGGGAGCCCAGGTTAAGAAAGAAGGAGCATGCTTGTAAAATCTCTGTGTGAACAAGAGAGTCATTGACAAATTTTGAACACCTGATCTGCTGTACCAGAATGATGACTTTTTTTCATAATCTATGCAAAGAAAATTTAAACAGTTGATGAGTTCAGTCCCAAAGCCACAGAGCAGGTGTAATTGATTTATASTTCCAGCCCCTGTTTTGGGTTAAAATTCTGTCTTCTTCCCTCAGCCCTCATTTGGAGAGAAACTTCCTGTACAGTCAATGAGAAGTTTTGGCAAAAGTGCAGAGATATTTGCAGTCAGACTGGCAAAAGCTCCTAATTGAGCTGAACTTTTGAGGATGCTCTGGTGACATGTCTGTGAGAACAATTATTTYTGCCATTTCAAGAGTATCACAAGTTAAGTTGTACTAGGAAAAATATCAATGCTTCATTAGTGCAAATCATGAAATTAAGATGCAGAAGGCTACAGAGAGGGCTCTGTGGCACATCCTCAGGGATGGCACRTTCACATGTTGCTTTTCACGTGAACTGGGGCTTGTGAGATCCATACTGATGTGGGCAAGTTACAGGGCTGTTGTGATATCACGCTTTCTAAATCACAGGTTTTTTAAAACCTCATTGGCAACTTGCCCATTAAACACAGGTATTATAGCCTGACATCCCTAGTGTTTCTCCCAGGAGTTCCAGTTTTTCCAGCTATGATGTTTGGAAAGTTTTACAAACTGACAGGAGAGAATAGTGGGAAATAGCCTGGAAAGCGTGAATATTTGTGCATGTAAAGCTTATGGGATTTGCAGACTTGCAGACCMAACTCATCTGTTCATCCTCAGGCTAGATAAGATTCAGTCAAACATGCATTGTTTAAAAGGAGCTTTGTTTCCATTATGGCAAATGGATCACAGGAGACTGGCTTTGGGAGCTGAAGGGCTCCAGTGCTCCCCCATTGTAAAAGGGCTGTGATGTGCGCTGGACCTTTCCYCCAGTGTCCTGGATGTTACAGACTTTTGTAGCATGCAAGTGGGATGCTTGTTATCCTTCAGAAGTTCTTTTCATTCATCAGGACTTGTCATGCTTGAGGTTGCATTTCCTCTCCCAAAGTAAACATAGATTGTATGTGCAATAATGTATCACTGTGCTAGTAGACTGCCTTTYTATGTGCTTTATTATGTTTTCTCCTCCTCAGGCGTGGACCTGTAGAGCCGCTGGAATATTTAACRGGGCCACGAGTAACGTACAAAGAGAGAGATCTTCCCTACTATCACGGAGGACAGCCTGTTATCCACCCATCCAAGGGGAGCTACATCCGCGCGCCAGACACGAGAGTGGCTGAACTGAGGTACCCTCAGTATTACCCAACCCAGCCCATCACAAACCAGCACAAAGGACCCCTCCGGCAGGACGTGCCACCCTCCCCTCCTCAGCCCCACCGAGCACCAGCTTACAGTGAAATTGTCCGACACCATGGGACCAGTCCAGACCAGTACCAGTACAGGCAGCAGGATCCCAGGCAGAAGAACTCCATGACTGCAGCTGTATAGCCATGCCTTGGGCTCGGGGCACAGCCTGGCAGGAGCCCCGTCGGACATCATCCTTGTAGAGTTGTTCCCAAGCATAAGTTGTTCCCAAGCCTGCAAGAATGGCACACGAGACCTGGAGTCGTTCTTACAGAGCTGGGCTCAGCGTACATGCTTTCTAACAGGCGAACTAAAGCCGCGTGAGGTACGATGTGTTTTGAGTATGTGAGGTACCAGACAATTGAGTGTTTTTTAATTCCTTTCAAAAATAGAAGGTGGCTGCTGGAAATGAAACACAACACTAATACACCTCAGGGCTATTTAGTGAATGCAGTTACACCTTTACAGTATATAGCTGTCTGTGTCAGGGCAGCGGAGTCACCAGAGTTTACTTCAGAGTGCTGCTGTGGAGCCTTTTAAGTGAGAACACRGCGTGCAGTACAGACTTCTTGCACAGCTGGGGTTCTTGTGTATCCAGTATGTGATCATGACAAGYGACTGCCACAGAGGTAGTGACCACATTCCAGGCACTTCCAGACCAACAGCTCTGCTTTAGGGATGCTGCAGTTACAGATTTACAATCTGGCCTCCATTTTCCTTTTTCTTTTTGGTGGCAGCAGCATTTATCTTATAATCTTCATGTTTTGCAGATTGTTTATCAAAAGTCTCCTCTTACTGTACCTGCTTCAGGTGGAGTAGGGCAAAAAGCCTTAGCCCCTCTGGCTGAGCGGGCTCAAAGAGGAAAAGAGGACAGGCAGCCACATGAGAACCATATTGGGGGTGGGGGGTGGGGATTGTGCTTGTGAGTGTTTGTTAGTTAAATAGTGTGCAGTCTTTAAATGTAAACCCTGGAGACCAGATCCTCAGCTGCTGTCAGGAAGCATCACTCTTGGGATTTCCGTGGAGCCAGCCTGTACGAAGTGCCAGGGAGGTGAGCATGGTCACGGACTCCATAATTGATGTGAAGTTACCGTGTCAGGTGCTGCCTTGGCTCCATTAGGGCAGCTCATTCCTGCCGTCCCAGGCACTGTTGGAGTGAAGTGCCTGCCAGCAGCRTGTCATGCCCTGGCCAGCCTAGTGCTGCCACAAGGCACCTGTTCATGTGGGGCCACCCTCGGGCCCCACCGTGCCAAGTGCCAAACTGCTCGAGTTCCTGCAGCAAGGGGTTTTCACAGCAAGGGRTGAGGAAAAAGACAAGGAAAGCAACAGGAAGGGCTTCAAGACGTGGGGCCCAGGAGGCAAAGATGAGAATAGCTGTTTGTGGCAAATTATTTGCAACAGTGCATAGGAAGAGAGAGGGTGTGGGTGGGGAARGGATGTCAGCAATGCAGTAGAACCATGGTAAGGGGACAGAGTGGAACATGCCCAGTTCTTTGCCCCACACAGTCWGAGTTTGCTCTGCAGCCAGAAATGCATGTCCCCAGCCACAGGGACCTGTGCRACCTGACCCAAAAGGGCTCTGAGTGCTTACAGATCTGTCTCAAGGATTTTGTCATGGGGAAACCATGCAGTATTGCAACCTAGAAATACCTTACTTCCAAGTGTCCTTAATTCCTTGACTTCTGCCCTYTGGGAGTGTCACTAAACCATTAGGCCTCCTCTCCTCATCAGGAAAAGACTGTGACCTGGCCAAGAATTAAGCATAAGGATTTCTTTAATATATTTTTGACACCTTTGGTATGCAACACATTAAATCACATAGGTCACTTCCCAGGTATTAAATGCCACCAGGAAGGTTTGTCCTGCTAGGAATGTGTCCTGCCAGCAGGTAATGGCCCTGATGAGATGCAACATTTAATGCCAGCCTGCATTTCTTCTCTGCTGATGATGCCAGTGAGAGCCCAGTGTAACCCTGAGRCACAGGGAGCACTTGCAGCTGCCTGAGTGGCCAGCAGGCTCTAATGTTTGCTTTTCACCAGCTTCCATCTACCAGCAGGGATGGGAAGCAGGGCAGAGGAGACAGCTTTCCATGGTGGGGAAGCACCTCCATGATTCAGACAGAGAGCTGGACTCCCTGGGGCAGGGGCAGGCACAGCTCTAAATCCAGTCAAGAGGAAGCATTGGTGGGAGGGTGAGAGAAGAGGAATGCAACTGATTATGAAGCAAGGATGTTTGGTTCTTGTTCCATTTCTTTCTGCCCTCTTCCCTAGTAATGTAGGAGGGRAAAASCTCTGGAGGGAGTGTTGGATGTAAAGCTCTCAGTACCCTCCATAAATAAGGCRCATTCCCCAAGGAAACTGCCTGTCRTGTACGTGCTCTACACAGCCTCATASTTCTCTCAGAAAGCTTTAGATGCTAGAGGATACTCAGCCAGGACTTGGCAGCCACACAGGATAGCCGCTGGTGTTATAAAGGCCTGTTGAAAGTGAARCAAAAACAAATTAAAATAGTTTCCTTTCTCTCCTTGAAATATAACCCCTGATACATTTGATCCAGCTGTAAAGAAACTAATGTTTGCGACAGTGGCTTTATCAAGCCAGGCCACAATTAAGAACAGCTCTGAATATAAGCTACTGCCTTTATAAATCARTCTCAACTAACCCTTCAAATGGCATCACAGCACAGTGAACAGGACTCATTTACAGTATTTCATGAGCCAGGGCCAAATAAAATCTGGATGGAAACAGCTCTTGGGTTATTTATAACCTTTGAAGGACCTGCCCAATGTCTCCCTGTAACAGGAATCTTTCCTTAAGAGCTCCCCTTAACTGCATCAGCTCCACTCAATTGAGGCAGACAGATTAAACAAACACTTTCTGAGCTGTTAATCTTACCTTACCCAACAGGTTATTAAATGATTAAATGATGCTTCTGCTCAGTAAGCAGAAATCAGTAGAGAGCTTCTTCCCATCAAAGAAAAAAAAAAAAGAGATGTAAGTATAATCTATGGGTGCATTGTACAGGTAAGGAGCTAAGGAGCTGAGAAGAACAATGTGAGCTAGCTGGAGTAACAAGACCAGAAAGTATTACAGAGCATCTCATCAATCTCTGGTGCCATTGTTCTGGGAGAAAATATGGTTTAATATTTGGTAAAATATTAAATATGGTATTTTCAAAAATATCATGTATAACTACAGTATGTATAGTCAGCTTTTCTGCAGTGTAAAATGTATGATTTTAGCACCATATTGTGGAAAAATATGTACCGTGCAGAATTCACGAGGTGCTACAACTGACGGTTGAAAATACACACTTGCAAAATCCAAAAGAGCCGTTAAGTAACAAGTTGTTCTTTTCCCATATGTCCATATGTTTGGGAAAATTATGAGTCTGAAATGCTCTTGACACGTAATTGCCTCACACTTCCTCATCCAAAATATGCCAGTCCAGCAGTAGAGTTRCTGGCATAGTGGGTGTGAAGGGAGAGTTAGGTTTGCCCCAGGAGCAGCCCTAAGTGCTTATGTGAACAGGCATCAAGACCAGGGGAGAGAGGCTGCGCTCACATGAAGGGAAGCTTTGATTTCCTGAGCTGGTGGCGTGCAGCCTGCATTTCTGGCTCTGGCACAGGGCCAGMCAGGCCCAGCAGTTGAAAGATTAAGAGCCAGAAAAAGAGCCTGTGGATTTTCTGAGTGACCACCCACTAGTGAACCATGATCTTGGCCTGCGAGCTGACATTACCACTGTGATATATTACGATGCAGAAGTCTCTAGGCATCCTTCGAATGCATAAAGAAATATAAATTGCCCTTTGTGGGGAAAAAAAAAGAGGGAAATTAAGCACAGAAAAGAAAAAAACAAGGCTCTTGCCTTGAAAAAGTGCATACAGCCCTGAATTCCAATTCACTCCAGCTTCCTGATCTAGAAATAGCTTCATATGCTGCCTAATTTTTTTACAGATGAATTGTGCTACCTCTTCCTCCCAGCCTCACAGATTTGTTTATCCGAGTTAGTGCTGTGAGTGAATCCTACTGACTGCTCTGCCAGGGCCACATCCTGATGCTCTGCTCTGAGCAGGGGCTGCTCTGCACTTTCAAAAGGCCCCACACCTGTGCTACCCATCACAGTTGTTCTGCAGGGTCCTTAAGCCTTATATGCAAAATCAGAAGTGCTATTCACTATCTCTGCATAGAAGAGAAGGCTTTGTAAAACACTATTCTGTTACTGTGAGGGAGAGAGAGGTACTTGTGATCCTGACAATACCTGTGTGTTTAAGTGAAACTGATTTTAAAATAATGTGTGATTGTTTTGGGGAAGAAATGCAACACTTAATTTGAGAGGTTTTTTCTAGTACCGCATCAAAGATTTTGATCTTTTGTTACATATGGCTATATAAATTTTACCTGGTTTATTTTGCATTAAAATAAAGGCTTTAAGACTATATATGATTGTGTATTTGTACATAGAGTCTTTCCCTTGTTTGTGTCTACAAAGTCATCCTCAGCCACGGATGTGATTTGATATTAGAAGATGATGTATGATCAAGCTGGATCAGAATTGGTAAGGTGATTTTTTTTAAACAAAAATAAACAAAAACACAACAACCATGCACTGCTTTCAGATAAAAAAAAAAGAAAGAAAGAAAGAAAGAAAAAAGAAAAAAAAAAGAAGAAGGCATTTCAGGGCTTTACTTGATTCCCTCTCAAATCTGCATTGTCTTCAGTTGTGTCACCTGAATCCTGATTCCATACCCCAGGACTGAAAGGAGAACCAAAAGASAAGTCCCTTGCCAGCTCAGAGCATTTCAGCTTAGGCAGCTGCATATTCATTGCTGAAGTTCCCCAGGGAGTTTCACCTCAATGTGGAGCTCAGCTCTTGCTGTTGGTACCAGCCAAGGTGTTGTGCAGCCTGTAGCAGCTGCCAGGTCCAACCAGCTCAGAGGKCTGGGGACTCTTGCCACAGATTTAGTTAGGACTCCTTGAAAGTTCTGCACAGGCACTTCACATAWGGTAAGTCGGTCATTTTATTGAAGCTGGAGACTCTACTTTTCACAYTTTGTGCACTAGCATAGATCTTTGTAGGATCAGAGCTATGGGTTGCAGTGATCTTTGTAGGATCARGCAAGGGTGTTATGTTAGATGGAGTAATTTTCAAAATAGATACGTAAGTGAAAAGCCATTAGTACAGGAAGAAGGAATAATGAAGCCTTTCTAAGATGGAAATTTTGGGTTCCTGCAAATAAAAAGGAAAGAGTAAAAGAACAAAATAGAAATGTGCAGGTATACAACACAAGGTGTAACAGAAATGGAGTAATGGGTCAACAAAAATACGTGTGTATTGCATCCAGAACATTTTGAATGCAGGTCTTGGTATTTATAGCCAAGATAGTTCATGGACAGATGTCAGTCAGTTTTACCATATATTCAATTATAATCCACAAAGATGTCAATTTTAGAACCAATCATGTTATAACCTGTACTCACAGATAAAAACTTTACAAATAAAATTTATACCTCAGTTTCTTCTGCTGGAGCTATACAAAGAGTAGCAAAAGACAAAGTAGGAGTGTATTAAGAGCCAGAAACTCAGTGACCACAGTTTCAGATTGTGGTACTTCTGCCTTGTCAGTGGTCTCCTGTGGTTTCCTCACGACAGCACTCACTTCCCTGGGACCTGGGCTCRCGTTAAAATCTATTTTGCAGTCACTGCTCTGTCTATGTAAAGGATGTGGAGCCATTTGACTCTTAATTAATTTTAATGAACGAGGYTGTGCCCTCATGAGACCTGTGTCCCGCTGTAAGCAGACTGGGACGTGGCGCCTTTCCGCACGGAGGGTCTCGGAGCTGGGTTCCCCGCAGAAGTGCAGTGACCTGCTGCAATGTGCTCTACCCAGGGCAGAGCGTGCAGCCTCTCAGGCATGAGGAGTGTGGCAGCTGGGCTGCTTGGGAGGCTCTCAGGAAGCAAAACACCATTATTGAGATCGGAGTGGAGCTGAGCTGCTCCTGCAGCTTCCCAGAAAGCATTCAGTGCTTCTGGTAATTCCCAGAGGCTTCTGGCTCAAAGACTCTGGAGGGTCTCCTGAGGAGGTTTCTCAGACTCTCTTTGCTTGGTGTGCTCATCCCTGCAGAGACGGTATGGAGGCGYTGAGGCGTGCCTTGGGAAAGGATGGAAACAAGTAAGACTGAGAAGGGATTCTAATTCTCAAGTGTGGGATCTGCTCCAGGGAGTATGTCTTGGCGGTGGTTTTCTCAGTGGGCTGGATGGGAMTGATCGGATGCAGGCAACCAGAGAGACAGGATTGCTCTGGGAATGGGTAAGGAGGGGTGRGGGGGTGGAGAGTGGGAAATGACAAGGTGAGGCAAGTGGAGCAAAGGAAAAGGAATGAGAAATTAASATAGGTTGGAAAGTGGGGTGGAGGGTGTCAGATCTGAACAGGAAATGAGTGGAAAGAAGAGGGGATATGTCCCCAGTGTGTAAAGTTCACAAACAACCAAGGAAGATGGAACTTTGCTATAAGGCTGTCTAATGCTCCCCAGTTTCCATTTTGCATCCCAAACTTGTGACATCTCTCCACTGTGTCCAGAGTCAGAACCAGTGACAAAGCAGCACAAAGCTACCTGTGCCTGGGAGAAAGCAGAAGGGCAAGTAGGAATTGTGAGGAAACCCATCAACCATATGGGGAGAGGGACACCCCTTCCACATCACTGCCCCCTCCCTAGATCACATGTTGGCACCCAGAACTCACAGCCTGCTCCACACACAGATCCCTTCACCTCCTGGAGTACCCACAACATCACAAGGTCTCCTTTCCTAATTGCCTCTCATGCAGTGGTTCCCCCTGATCTCTGATGTACCCAAAGCCATGTTGACCTTCAACACGTTTGCCTTCACCTCTGAGAAGCCTTCGGTGCCATTTGTCAGCGTGGGTAACCAACACCAATAACTTTGCTGGCACCTGTAAGTGATACAAAGTATGTGTCCCCTACAGCCAGTGTTCACAAGATGTGGGGTGGGACTGTGCCATCATTAGACAGGGACAATTCATTTCTGAATCGGTGCTTTGTGGGTTTCATCTCCACTGTCTGTTTGCTTGTCTAGAATAAATCCTTGAYATGTGCAAAAGCTGTTTTATTGCTGGCCTTGTACGAAAATCCTGAACCAATTTCAAGGACCAAAAAGGTGATTATAGTCTTTAAAAGAGACTGTTCCCAAAATATGCCTGACAAACTAACCCAAAACAGACGAGTTGGCGGTGCTCATAGTAAAAGGAAACCTCTGCGCAGAGGAAACAGCCCTGCTTTGCTTTCCAGAGTATCTGCATCTGAAAGAAAGTAATTTATTGGGAAATATGTACAGTTGAGTAAAATAGCAAAATAAGACATTCAGTGAGGCTTCTATATAAAACTGTGCCCTTTGCCTCCAGCAGATAATGAATAAAAATTTTATAAAGAAGCAATGAACATTCARTGTTTTATATTTAAAATGTATTTGTGTGGAAAACAATGTGGCACAGAAACAGGASTGAAGGGTTCTCCAAGATAATGCCAGAAGCTGCGAGATGTTAGCAGCTTTGTCATAAAAGTTTCAAGGTGTGGGTTTTTAATTTTCTCTCATGAATCACAAAAGCAGTCATGAAAACTGTCATAAAAATTCATGGCAAGTAAAGTAAACTTACATTAAAACCTACCGCCTTCTTCTCTGAATTTTTGGTACTGATTAGGAAGAAGTGTCTGCTTCTCTGCCAAAACCTTACCTAGACAATCTGATTTAGTCTCTAGGCTCTGTTAAACTGGAGTTTTCATACATCACATCCTTCAATCCAGAGTATAAAGGAAAAAGAAACCCTAAAAAATGCAGCCTAGATTTTCAATCCAGCTAGCTACTATGTTAAGAGGTTTCATTTGCCATAATTTTTCTGGGAATGAAAAGAGAAGGGAAAAATAGAGCAAATATGAAGAAACTAGTTTATAAGTTAATAAAAATAAATAAACCAGCCCTCCTTTCCTCCTAGGTTTGGATATACATAGATATGTGTATATATGCACTGTCTTGGGTTGATTTTGTGCCAATCCTGTATTCCTGTTTCCATCTGCTTGTATGCCCAAAAGGTGCTTGTGCCTTTAAATCTGACCCAGAAGAAAGGGCAGGAGCTGCTGGAAGGCGGCGCGGGCAGTTTAAAAGCTGGGGCTGCTGTGCAGCCCTGTGCTTTCGAGCTCAGCTCGTGGGCTTTTGGAGCTCAGCTCGTTGGCTTTTGAGCTCAGCTCCGAGCCGGGGGAGGTCCTTGCTCTCTGCATGCAGCAGAATTACATTGTTGCGGTTTAGCTAGTTCCAGTTTTTTAGCTTGGGCAAACAGCTTTCCCTGGACAGACCCCGTCTGCAGCTGCATTGATTCTGCATCTGGAGCAATTCAGCGGCCGGCGGGGAGAAGCCGCGTGGCTCCTTCTTGTTCGGGACACCAGAAGAAGCCAAGCCGGCAACAGAAAAACACACCAAGCCCTCTGTTTCATCTATAGTGAGGAAAGGACTATAATCCAGGGGATTTTGCCACTGTTGTAGGAGCAACCACGTGGGTTTTTTTCTTTTTATTTCTTTTTCCCAGGACGAGAGCCGCCATTTTCTCCGCACCACTGTGGTGAGCGGGAGGGGGCAGCGGGTGTTCCTGGACTTTTGAATATTTAACAGGTACTTTTTAATCTGTGTCCTGTGGGCACTGTGTTTTGTTAATAAACTACTTTTTTTCTCTTCACTTTTGCCCGAACATCTATTTTATATTGGTGGGAACAAATTATCAAATTTTTCACTTCAGAGAAAACATTTACTCTGTAGCATTTTTCTCTGAAAATATTGTCTCAAACCGAGACAATACACACACAGTTATATATTGCTACTTTTGATCTAAAAATCAAGTTTATTTTTCCAGTTAATTTCTATCTATTCCCTCTCCCTGAAGGAGTCAGTATTTACAGTAATATATGCATGTGAGGAAAGCAGCAAAATGGTGACCACCTGGTTCATGAGTGATGGATGTGCAGARCCACTGAGCCATGCAAGCAAAATGAGGAGGAAGCTCTCAGAGCAGCATTGCCACATGCTGCACATCTCTCCAATGCCTGCATTCCTGTAAGTGACAATCTGCAGAGATGAGTTTGCAGTGCAGCCCCTGCCCCAGCTGTCAGAAGGATTTGCCAGGCTGCTGCAGTGCGTGAGGRCAGGCACTGGAGCCATGGCACAGCAGCGCTCACTGGCCTGGCCAGGATGGGGAGTGGGCCCKGCACCTCTAGAGAGGTTGAAACCAGAGCATGAGTTAAGGTTGAAGCTCCCTGACAGCCTACAGGTTATTTCAGCAAGCAGAGAAAATCAAAGGCACTCTAAGCATGCTCAGTTTGCAGCTCTGTATTTACATTTCACCAAATTAATCACAACTAATTCAGTTAGTGGAGTGTTAGGTTTGAGARGGATGTTTCTCATCTGTTCACAGAGGCATATGCRCACATCCTCCTCACCATGGAGRAAGTCCTTCCTTKTTTCCTTCCTTCTTTGTTCCTCTCTCCCCTCTGT